TCATATTGTTATCAAACCAAACAGAATAGTATGTAGGCCAACAATGTTTCATCAATAGTATCATACATTACCTGTCATTGTGACCCGACATCTCCAACGTCAAGCCTTGGTTGATCTGGTAGAGGTCCATGGTCTACAATGAAAATAATTCAGAAATATTCATTTAGAAATCATGATACTGTCAGGGGCGTCGCTAGACCTTCTTCAGTGGGGGGGGGGGGGGTGTAGAGGCCAACGATTACCGACAAAACTAGCCACCAATTACCGACAAAATTAAATGTCCCAATATCTACAAATTTAACCCTATAAACCTGGGGTCAAAATCTAAATTGTTTTTCATATGAACTATCTATAGTACTTGTGTATGCGCAAATGGTCATTTTCCTCGACGACATAAATATACGAATTATTTCGTCAACTAATTCGGTGGTCACATCCCGCCGTACTTGCAAGTGCGTGCTGTCTACGTGCAAAAACGTGTGCAAAATTTGGGTATCGGTACGTGGTGAGTACCGCCTCCATACGTATTTGGGAGCACGCAGACACACCGTAGCACTTTTTAGGGAGGGGCGGTAGTGGGCAAGCGTATCATTTTTAATTGGGGGTGGGTGATACGCCTTAGAAAGCTTAGACGTTTCCATAAATTGTTAAGAAAAAATGACAATTTATTGTACCATCCTCGACTGTTAATCCGTGTCTGAATTCAGTTTCTCCACCTTCCGCGGAAGCTTTGACGTTTCATTAAATTATGAGAAAAGCAGACGATTCGGTGTACTGTTCTCGACTCTTAATCCTTATCTGAATTCAGTTCTCCCCCTCCCGCGCGAAGCGCCAAAGTTTTTATGTTTCATTTAATTATTAGAGAAAGTAGACGATTCGTTGATATGCTCGACTCTTAATCCTTGTTTGAATGAAGTTTCCCCCGCTCGCGTGAAGCTTGGTAGTTTTGAAGTTTCATTAAATTATTAGAGAAAGAAGACGAATAGTTGGGCGTTTTTTACTCTTAATAAGCCCTAATTGTCTGAATTCAGTTTCCTCCTTTAACGCGAAGCGCGAAAGCTTTGACATTTCCTTAAATTAATAGAGAAAGCAGACGATTTGTTGTACCCAGCGTTTGCGACTCTTAATCCTTATCTGAATTCAGTTTTCCTCTCTCGCGCGAAGCGCGGAAGCTTAGACGTTCCCTTAAATTATTCGAGAAAACAGACGATTAGTTGTACCGTTTTCGACTCTTAATAAGCCCTATTTGTCTGAATTCAGTTTCCCCCTCTCGCGCAAAGCGCGGAAGCTTTGAAGTTTCCTTTAATTTTTAGAGAAAGCAGATGATTTGTTGTACCGTTTTCTACTCTTTTGGCCCTATTTGTCTGAATTCAGTTTCCCACTCTCGCGCGAAGCGCGGAAGCTTTGACATTTCCTTAAAGACCGTCAATACTACTGGGTCAGTTTCCCTCCTCCTGCGCTTTCGCGCGGAAGTTTTGACGTTTCCTTAAATTATGAGAAAAGCAGACGATTTGTTGTACTATTCTCGACTCTTAATCCTTTTCTAAATTCGGTTGTCCCCCCTCCCGCGCAAATCGCGGAAGCTTAGACGTTTCCTTAAATTATTAGATAAAGAGGACGATTCGTTCTCGACTCGTCTAAATTAAGTTTTCCCTCTTGCGCAAAGCGCAGAATTTTTGGCGTTTCATCAAAATATAGAGAAAGGAAGACGATTCATTGTACTATTGCTGACTCTTTATCCTTGTTTGAATTTAGTTTCCCCGAAAATTTTAAACCTCTGATTTCTTTAGCTGATATTATAGGAAAGTGAAACTTCTAGAAAATACAAGTTTTGTAGTCGTAGTCACTCTCGAAGTCATCGCAGCGGACAAAAAGTCACATTTCGTAGGGAAAAAAACTTGTAGCCAACCGACAATATAAACCTCACCGACTTCAAACTTCTGCATTGATATAGTACATGAGGATCGAGCAAGAATACCGACACAGCTGACCCGACACAGTAACATATTTACTCGTGTCTTTCTTGCTCCCTCGACGAGACGACTCCACCCAACAACCCCTTCTTTCTTTTACTCCCACTCCTCCTCTCTCAGGCTCTTACCTCCCCTCTCTCTCCTCTCTTTCACCCGCGTTTCTTTTGTTTCCCCCTTTTTTGTTTGTTTCTGTCTTCTCCTTCTTTTCTCTTTTTTCCTCTCCTCCCTCTTTTTCTTTTTTCTCTTTCTTTCTTCTCTTTTTTTCCCTTTCTTTCCTCTCTTTTCCTTTTCTTGTTTTTCTTTTCTTTCCCTCACTTTTTTCCCCTCCCACTTTTCTCTTTTTTCACGAGGGCAGCGCAATTTTACCGACAATATCCTGACAGGTGGGGGGGGGGGGGTGTCGCGTCCCCCCCCCCTTTGGAGACGCCCCTGGATACTGTATAGCATTTCAGTTCAATGATTGCTGTCATATTGTTATCAAACCAAACAGAATAGTATGTAGGCCAACACTGTTTCATCAATAGTATCATACATTACCTGTCATTCTGACACCGACATCGACATCTCCAACGTCAAGCCTTGGTTGATCTGGTATGCTGTCATCATCACTTTCCTCAGACTCATCATCCACTGACAGGACAACTCCCTCCCATCTCCTGCCTTTCCAAGGCATGAAGACTTTTGTCCCTTTTATTGGAATACAGGGACATTGAATATATCTCCATACACTACCACGTTTTTTGGAGCCATCTTTTTTCCACTGAACAAGCAATTCTCTTGTTGGCTCCATGCTGCAGCCTACCTGTGCAAATCCTGACAAAGTGAGGGAAACAAAAGGGTTACATTAATTTTGACTGAAAGTAGATCTAATCCAACTTACAAGCTACTTTACAATTGACCGTCCCCAATACTTGTAGCGGAAAGTAGAAACTTGAGTTCTAGACATACAACTATCATTTGAGATTGCCCTTGATTAAATTTGAACAAAGCCACTAAAAGACAAAGGTATCAAAATTCAAACCATTCTCCTTTCATATCTGTAGACTACTATCATTTTTGCAAATTTAATTTGAACAATAAAAAGTATTAGACCTCTAGAGTCTAGAATCTGCTTGCACTGTTGCAATTGGTATAATAATACCTGAATACGGTATACTACTAACAATCTGGCATTTATTTAACTAATTTTGTAGATCTACGCTAAGCATGCTTTCAAATTTCAATCCGTACCACTGTCTTTACAAATTGTTGTCTTGTCTCGTCTTTCCATGAGCGAAAAAACAGTGAAATGATTATCACAGCACATAGATCTATAGATTGACGACTACTCCTACATACTGTACATGTATCTTGATCTAACTGAACAACCTCACACAAACAACATCACATCCCGCACCCAACTCTACCGGAACTGACGTTTTCCCTCGGGACAGCTAGTAACTGCGTGGAACGCACTTTCGAAAATCACCCTTGACTTGGGGCTTGATGCTAGTTGCTAGACCTAGATCTACTTCATATTTGGAGGCCTTCAACTTCAAGGGAGCGCTTCCATTGCAACCCACTCCAGCAAAGCATAGAGTCAATGCCACTCAACATCCACCCCAGCACAGAGAGTCAATGATAATGCGTAATGACTCTACTTACCCGTGATACCATATAAATCAATACATGGGGCAACGTATTAATTATCATCATTATACATCGCATTTTTACCCGATAAAATCAAAATATTCTAACGATCCTAATCATAATGTAATCAGTGTGACCAAATATATCAAATCTTCCAGATAATTTGACATTTACAACACGTTATTTAAAAGAAGAAGCAGTTATTTTGCTTACCACAGGCCTAGCAGACGTCAGCTTCGCGATAACGCCCTTCTGCTTTGATCAAAATTTACGCTCGCGCCTAATATGCAAAGGGCGTAGAGGGCTTACGCCCTTCTGCTTAGCGCGATATCTGACAGTTTGTGCTAACGCCCTTTTACTATTGTCGATTACGTAATCATTTACTTCGTTTTATGCCATCTCGATCACATCATTTGAAAGAGCTTTGAAAACTCTATTAAATGACATGAAATATCAAAAATCGATTTTTGACCTGAAATTCGAGCTAACGCCCTTCTGCCAGCCGTGCGACGATATATACCGCTTCGATGCTGTATACATAAATCTGAACTAGGGTCAGGAGAATATACTGTCTTTAACATCAGTATCAATAGTACAATAACAGTTATTAGATAATAATTGTTATTTTGTTATGTTACAGCAATCAGGAAGTTTGGATTTATTGGCTTTTTAGGCGTTCCCCTACTCCTTCTGCCAGTAATTTACATCATCTATAAATTACGTCACAGACATGACAAACAACAGGTATTAGTATAAAGGCCTTTATATATATATATATATATAGAGAGAGAGAGAGAGAGAGAGAGAGATACAGAGAGAGAGAGAGAGAGACAGACAGACAGACAGAGATAGAGACAGATAGAATTTCTGTTCATGTTTGCATTTGTTTTGTTTTGTTTTATTCTACAAAACTTGCATAGCGTCAAAAATAACCATACACTAATCGAATTCTTAACTTCAGCCCTGGACCATACACTATACCTTACTACATGTATACCTAACTCTAACCCCAAACCTTACCACAGACCCAATTTTAATCCCAACCCTAACCAATATACATATATACCTTTGAAGCAATTTAGCCGGGTGCTTCTGTTCATCCAATACCATTAGTTGGATTTCTTTTCTGTAAAGATCAAAAATACTGACATAAAAAATGGGAATCAGCCTCATTTTTTCCCTTTAGAAATTGCCAAGAAATACTCAATGAATTGAAGTATTTTCTCATAACTTTACGTTTGGGACTTCTGGTTTGATTGACTTTCTAAAAAAAATGAGTATTAATTCATTTCAATCATTCTTGTTCGACTTACGATTTTGTCAATGTTAAATTTGCATTTCTAAGAGGTATACGTAAAAGTTTCTCAATTAATACACTTTTCAATTTCTTATAGTATCGTGTTCTTGATGAAAATACAGTGGAAGACGATATTGTTGGTATGTAGCTGTTTATTCCGGGGCCCCGTCTGATAAACAGTTGCGATTAATCGCACCTTATTTGCGATTGATAGTAATCGCAACTAAGTACATAACAGATAGGAGACTGCAAACTTACGATCGATCGATCGGAGGACTTGCAATCGATGCGGATCAATCGCAACTCTTTATAAGACTGGGCCCTTATTTGCATTACTATCTTAATGGTATTAATATGACATCATAATAATATTGTGAGGTATACCATTAACGTATAAAAAAACAAATGCCTACTAGTATGAGGTAAATTAAGTCAGATTCGTTCTCTGAAACTTGCATCTTGTTTTCACGATTTTAGTAATGTTCTTTAATTTATTACACAACATTCGTATTTCATCTATTTTTTTGCCATAATTATGTCATCGGTCTGAAAGCTCAGGTCCAACATTATAGTTTCCATCTATTTTGAAATTTCCTCTTTTACTGACATTCAAATATATACAATCTCTCTCTCTCTCTCTCTCTCTCCCTCTCCCCTCTCATTTCATACAGATGTCCCTCCTGATGTTGATGGGTTGTATAAAGACAGGCACATCTCCCCAGCCCTCCCAACCGATCAACAACTCAACCGGGAAGAGGTTAGTCCATTTCAGAATTAGTTCTAGATATTTTTTTCCTGGGGGGGGGGGGGGGGGGGAGTCGGAGCCGGATGCTTTGAATGTATAATACATTAATTAAAAAAAATATATAAAAAAGGGGGAAACATTTGCCCCTCCTGATAGATTTCCGACAAAGATATATTGTAACGAATATTATAACTATTATTTCTTTCAGTGTTACACGATGGATCAGTGCAATAAGGGTCTGGTCTTCATCTTGAACAACTACCACTTCGGTCCTGATAGTAAGAAGGAAAGAAAAGGGTCTGATGTTGACTTAGCCAATGTAAAACATGTCTTCACCGAGATTGGCTATACGGCAGATGAAGCTCAAGATCTCACTGCTGAGGTAGGATATTTGGTATAGGTAAACGGAATTATAATTATAATCCATGCTTACATACAGCTTGATACACCGACGATGTGTCCGAGCGCTTTACAGACATTACCCCATTTATCAGATTCAGGCTAGCCCGCACACAACGTATGCACATTCTCCACTCTCTGGGGAGTGATCTCGCCAGCTCCATTTTACAGACGCTCACAATGCAGATCGAGCAAACTCCATTAACATTCGCATCCTATCAAGTACCCATTTAACACCTGGGTGGATAGTGGCAAATGTAGATTAACGTCCCGCCAAAGCACGTTAGTGCCGGACTGAGATTTGACTTACACACTAGCTAGAACACAACATAATCTACACCATGTTTTTTGGGGCTTGAAGAACTAACCAAAAAACAAAAAAATACTTCAGGGGAAATAAGGGAAGAAAATGTCGGTCTCGTGGGCTGGTTTCGTGAACCATCTGAAAAGTGATTAAACGGATAATGTCGGTTGTCCGAGTTTTACTAGTGGGTTGGAGGTCTCATGGGCTGTTAAAAAAAAATTGTCTGAAGGCACAATTAAGAAACCGACATTGTCGGTATAGCTAGAAAGCTGTCGGCCTCCCGGACTCTCAGTCTCGGAGGCTGTACCTGATATCCCCGTGCAAAAACACACACCGACACGCACACACACTGCACGCACACACAGTCATACAGAGCCATCTCCATGCATTCTCAAAGCACTGATATTGCTCTCCCTTATCCATTTCTCACACTCTGTAGGATATCAGACTGGAGCTGAAGAACTTAACCCGGAAGATCTTACCCTCTCATACTTCGGTGGTTCTGGTCTTCATGAGTCACGGAAAGAAGGAAGGTATCCAAGGTACCGACGAGGGAGTTGTGACCGTTGAGGAAATCAAGGATATGTTCTCTGGGAACAACTGCCCCGCCCTGATTGGGAAACCAAAGATCATGATCTTCCAGGCTTGCCGTGGAGGTAAAACACGACTGGAAATACTCTCGAGAAAAACCTATTAAAGGGGCATCCAACTCTAGAGAAAAAGAATGAAAATCAGAGAAGTAGACTGGTGAAAGTATAAATAAAATCGGACAAAAATGGGAACGTTATGAATGTATGGGCTCTTCGAATTGGCTAAATCGGTAATTTCTCTGTGATGTAATGGCGGACAGCTGTCTTGTTCTAATACGCAAATGACTAAAATGATGAATGTATGAGACAGGAGATTCTATTTATTTTAGAGGACCTATACTAATATGCTATCTATAGAGTAGTGCCCCAAGGGAGAAAGAAAGATTTTTTTTAAATACATGACATAGATTAATGCCTTGCCAAAGGACCGTAGTGACGTGTTGGGGATCGAACCCATGTCCTTTGTGTTTAAACCGACTTCGACATCTCTGAATAACTCATATTCCCACTATCAGCTTGAGCAAACACAGTATTGAGTGATCACGCTTTTGGGTCTCTGCATGACTTGTGAGGCTCTTTCGCACGCACCGTCACATAACCCAATGAAGAAATTAATGGTGCGGAAACATGCCAGTTAAAGTGTTTTCAATTATTTGTTAAACCGCACAAAAAAAGAAGAGAAGAAGCGTTCACACACACATTATTTTGTATTTTATCTATCACTATTACTGACTGCACCACTCGAATACAAAGTTCTCTAATGACAAATGCAGAGAGTTATTTGAAAAGGAGTTCGGAATTCTTTTCTTCTTATTGTTTTCAGCGAAAGTAACGCCTAGTGCTCCATCTCTCGCCACCTCCGTAGTGGATAATGGAATATGTACAGACTTCGTCGGGACTGACGGGGTAGCAAGGGATGGAGGGGTAACCCTGGTAACAGAAGATGAAGCATGTTCGACATCACCTGGTAGAGTTGGAGGAGGAGAAGTGGAAATTGACTGCGGTGTACCGGACAATGCTGATATGTACATTGCTCAATCCACGTCAGAAGGTATGAGGAAGAATAATGAGAGGGGGGGGGGGGGGGGAGAGAGAGAGAGAGAGAGAGAGGGAGGGCGTGGGCAAAGAGAGAGAGAGAGAGAGTGAGATCGAGAGACAGAGAGAGAGAGAGAGACAGAGAGGAGGAAGTGACAGAGAGAGAGAGAGAGAGATAGAGATACGGGCGAGGGAAGCGAGGATCGAAGAGAGAGAAAGAGAGAGGAAGACAAAAAGATAGATAGAGAGAGAGAGAGAGAGGGGGAGGGGGAGAGGAAAGGGGGCCGGGGGGGGGGGGGCTGGAGGTCATATTCAGGGGAAGTGGGAGAGAGCAGCAAAATGAAGAAATATTATTGTTGTCCTAGTATAAATGTCACATTTCCGTTGTCGATTGACAGGCTATTACTCACTACGTGATAGACAGAACGGATCTTGGTTCATCCAGGCCCTCTGTGAAGAGCTGATCGCCAGTGCCCACGACCACCATCTCGATGACATCATGACAAAGGTTGCACTTCTTTCAGTATATCATTTTCTTCTAGATATTTTAAACGAACAGTGCGTGGCATAGTTACAGGGGGCACAGGGGAACATTCCCCACCGAGTATTAAAAAAAAGGAAAACAAAGAGAGAGAAAAGATTAATTGGGGAAGGAAAGGGGAAAGAGTTGAGGACATTTAAACTTTCTCCAAAACCCTACGGCTATCAATAGCCTTTTAAATGGTACAAAGTAGTTTTGTAACTGACAATGCTACCCTGCAAAAAATTATTTAAAAAAAAAAAAAAAAAAAATAAATAAATCAATCAATAAATCGATCAATCAATCAATCAACATTATTAATAAATAATTCACACCTCATTTTCCGAATATCCCCGATTCCGCCTCCCCTCCAAATTTCGCTCTTGTGATACGACAGCCAATCACATCTTTGTATCTATTTTTCTCATAATAATTCATGCATTTAGGTTACAGACAGAGTGAAGCGACAGGAGATAAGGATAGAAATCAACAAGGAACGACATCTAACCATGCAGACCCCGCAGATTATCAAACAAGGGATAGGAAAGAAGATCTTCTTCTTACCAAAATACCCTCCGCCAGCGGGAAGTCAATAAATTAAGAGGCATCTATAAATCTAATCTTGAGCTCTGGAATGCAGAGACGGTGGAGTCGGGGGGGGGGGGGTGCACAGTGCCCCTACTTTTTCAAGTATCCCTAAAATGTGTGTTTAAGATATGAAAGTTGTCCCCCTTTTCTCCAGATAAGTGCCCCTTTTTATAAGGGCCCGTTCCACATTCTTATAAGTGCCTCTTACCACCTCTGACAAGTGCCCCTTTCACCGATGATAAGCGGCCTCTATAAAGATCTTATTAAGGTGCCCATTTTAATTTTACAAGTGCCCTTTTCTTTTGTAATAAGTGCCTCTTCCTCTTCTGATAAGTGTCCCTTTCCATCTTTAATGAGTGCCCCTTCTCATAAGTGCCTTTTTGTTTTGAAACGTGCCGCCTTGTCTTTATAATAAATGCCCCTTTTATTTTTTTAATAAGAGCCACTTCCCTTTCTCAATGCCCCTTCTCACACGTGTGATAAATGCTTATATTAAAAATCTCATAGGCCCCTTTTTATTTTGACATATGCCTCTATCCTTTCTTATTAGTGCCATTTTCCTTTTGATAATCGCCCCCTTTCCTTTTTCATCTCTCACCTTATCAGGTGCAATTAGTGTCCCATTTTCACCTCTGATAATTCAGATTTTTACAAGTTTGACACGAGCTCCTTTTCTTTTACAGTAGGCCTAATTGTCTTTTTAACTTTGGATATGTGTCCCCTTTTCCGTTTTAACCATAAAATGTGCTCCTCAGTAATTTTAAAGCAACTAAGAGTAACTTTTTTCTTCAATTTCACCCAAAGCTTGCTTGCTATACGCACATTCGCATTTTAAATTAATATGATTTTATTTCGTATTAATGTTTTTTTCTATCTCTCATGATTAGGTTTGTTTTTTCCTTTTTAAAAGATGTAATTTTTAGCAGCCTCACAAATCTTTAAATTTTGCGTACTCGCTTCTCTCGCTCGCAATTTAATATATAGACAATCACTCCCAACGGCAAAGTATGATGCTTAAGCATTATCTTGGACCATGTAAAGAGAGCAGCAAAAAATGAAATCATCGCTGATAATCTTATCACAATATAAGGGTATAAGGGCCTACCAATGTCTAAAATTTGTATATTATTGCTTTGAGGTTTTCTTTTGTAGGTGCCCCATTTTTTTTCTCCAGAAAGCGCCCCTGTTTCATTGGTCCCCCCCCCCCCCACTTTGAACTTGAAGACGCTGCTGGTATGGGAATCCTATTTTGAGAAAAAATTGCTATGGTATATTTTGGCGTGTTTATCCTGCAGTAGATTGGTTGTTTGAACCAGTGAAATAAAAATATACGCACAAAACTGTACAGGGCACCATCTTCGATAAAAACCACAACTCCAATTTGCACATAGCGGCCTCGTGATTTTCTTATCCTTTTATGCTCATTATTTACTCAGCCACTATAAATTGTCTTCCAAAATTGTATAGTACATGTCATTTATTACTAATATTGAATATTCGGTGTAAGTTTCGTTGGATTCTGTGAGAATTTATTTTCTATATTTACTAGAACTCAAGTTCTTAATTCTTAAAGGTAGTGATAAATGCAAGGGTCGACTGGTCGTAGCATATTAATTTAAAAGTTAGATTATGTTACCAGTGGTGTATTATAATAGGTTGGTTATTGTTCTAAGATGGTTATATACAACGCATGCTCCTGCGACGTTACTGCTGATCGCGGTCATTTCTGAACCAAAATACAAATGTCTTTCTTTTGAAGTTTGTAAATACGTTGAAAAAAAGTTTTCCTACTTATTGTGGAGAAGAATTCATTTTCACCATTAAACAGATGAGCCTCTTCAGCGATTTACGAATAGACCGATATTGTATTGGAATATACCATTTCGTAATGTAATCACATTTAATGCATATTTCTTTGTTAAGTGTCATGTTACAAATGATTTCATTCATATATTTACGAATAATTATATTACAATAGTCAGAATGCGAATTGCATAGTGCATACGTACATAAACGTAACTTAATATGATGTTGGAGTCATTTGTTATTGTGTCATCGATTATCATTGTATAGGCTCCTATACTCCAATAAAATAATGCATTGTCTTTCGGAGACATTGTTGCTTTTTATTACAATCAAATTTTTTACTTTTTGTATCTATTCTGTGAAGATATCGTAACATGTAGTAGTAATCAAATACCATAGCACACAAGTCTACATAGATGTGCTCAATATTTATAGTTGATGAAAAGAAGAGTGTGTAACTGAAAAGAGGGGGATTTATTAAGAGAGAGAGAGAGAGAGAGAGAGAGAGAGAAAGAGAAGATGGAGGAAAAGGGGTGTAGAATTTATTGATAGATATATAGTCTAGAGAGAGAGAGAGAGAGAGGTTCGGAGAGAGTGAGCTATAGAGTGAGAGAGAGAGGGAGGATAGAGAGAGAGAGAGAGAGAGAGGGAGAGAGGGGGCGGGGAATGACCAACGAATGGGAACATCAATTAGAAAGCTCTTTAAACAATTAAAACAAAAGTTAAGTGGGTGTCTTTTTGGGAAGGGGGTGGGGGCGGTGGGGGGCATAGCTTTTATCGCCCTCCGCCGTGATCATTTTTAGACTATATAGGCTCACGGCAATAAAGTTATAGTTCGGCAATTTGTTTTCTCTAAAACAAGGATGTATTACTATGTTTCGAATATTAATATATGGCCTTAATATTACTATCACATTTCTGCGCTATATACATAGATATAATTATGTAGTTCTACAGTGGCTTCATGTTTAATTTCGATTAGTCCAATAATTAATAGTTGGGATATTTAGGCTGATAATTGATTTTAGAAAAACAATCACTCAGTCCACGAACCATACGAGTTATGTTGTCTGGCCAACTAATATGTGGCTTATGTAGAAGGGTGTGGGAGGGGGAGAGAAGGGGAGAGAGACCTGTATCCCCCCCCCCCCCTCCCAGCGGCCCCGTCTCAGTCTTTCCCTCTCGGAGACTCTTCAGAGTGTAGTGAGATAGTGACTTTTCCATAAGAGGCGATTGGTGGTAAATGCAGAACATTACATGTTATCTCCCATCTAGCATCTGGCATCTCTCTCTCAAGTTCGAGCTCTTCTCAGCAGCCCGCCCCCCCCCCCCCCGGATTATAGTTCAACTAGCCATTAATAATACGTGGCACGCGAGTCGAGAAAACTGGATCGGAAAGACCTTGTCAGAGGTCATATTTACTAGTCTAATTTTATAAGTTCATCATAATTTATTATGAAATTTATCAACATATTTTGTTGTGAGTGCAATAGTTGCATGAGTAAAATACATGCACCTCCCTCAGGAAATAATCAAAAAATTGACCAACTGAAAAACTAGTATCTATTAAACAATGTGACATGTTTATTATGCTAAATATAAATGTTAACAGAGCTTATATAACAAAAATGTTCTGAATTTAGACTACGTGTGCAAGGCTGTTATGATCTACATTGCGTTTATTCACTGCATGCACGGTACATTGTACGTTGGTCTAAACTCCTTTACCCGGGCCAGCCAGCGTATCAAAGCTTGTTTATACTGCGACTGTAATTTGTAACAGCTGTTGTTACTATTCTGACATTTGCAACTCACATTTTGCATCATTTCTGAACCATTTTTACGTCCCGAGACGTCCAAGAAATAACAATGTCGGAAGACCATTTTGACGATCTGGAGCATTACAACTACGATCCCATTCACAGCGGGGCGAGCGGCAAGGGGCTGTCGAAGAAGGAGAAGGCGACGAAAGAACACAATAATCCACACACAACGAAAGAGGCCCGTCTTGTCGAAGATCAGATTACGAATTCGGAACAGAAGAAAAAGGATAAGATCAAGAAACAGAGCAGCAAAGAATAGATTTGAGGACAGAAACAGTGGATGTTTGTTGAATAACGACATGAATTGTAACTTTTAAGGTGAGACTCAGTTGCAGTCTGCATTCTTAACCTAATTCTTATTTAATCTTAATTTTAGAAAATTTAGTCAAAGAGAAGATTCAATTCTGACTTCTTGGAAGAGGTGAAACATAATTTGTGACGCGAGTGATATCATTGTTAATAATAATATGCAAGTGCGGAAGAACAACAGATAAAAAATGTCCACTGAAAAGCATGGCTCTTCAAATGCCTTGATATATAGATCTAGACCCTACGGCATGTAATGGCATACAAATCGGGACGTATTTTTACGCCACATGTTCGTGTAGTCCCATATACATCTTTCTGTGTACAGTGCTTGTAACTTAACATAGACTGGGCTAAATTTCTTATCGTTTTGATGATTCCAGTCTAATTTCCAGAACCTTGCAGTACACACCAATATGCCAGACGATCAACCTTTTCTGATCGATTCTTTCACAATGCAATCGCATAACCAGCACTCAACTTTGTCTTTTAGTTAACATCATATTCATAAATGCAGCAAGTCTGTTTGGAAGATTATTTTATTTTCAACTCAACACTGTAAATAGAAAAAAAAATTCTGAACAAGATGTAGTCCTGCTACATACATTATATGACTAATGATAAGTAATGTAGCATGATTAATGCTATGTTTAAAGATAAAGACCAGTTATGGTCGTGCAATTGCATTGTGAAAGAAAGGTTGTGGAATCGATCAGAAAAGGTTGATCATCTAGCATATAAGTATTGGTGTGTACTGCAAGGTTCTGGAATCATCAAAATGATAAGAAATTTGGCCCAGTCTTCGTAAAGTTACAAGCACTGTACACAGAAATACACACCAATAGATAAACTAATTTACCAAATATATCAATTAGTAGGCGGTATACTCTTTCACATGATTGGTAATAAGAGCTTCCATTTCATTTTTTGAAATTGGGGCATTTCCAATACTGGTCTTTACCTTTAAGTTTTTATATCAGCACTTTTCATGATGACATTTGTGAAATCAACAAATCTTTTGTTTCTTTCTTCTTCGCTTAGGTTTGGATTTGCCACAGAAGATCGGATACAGTGTCGCTATGTCGGGGACCGGAACATGGACAAAGAGGATGCCAATCATGAATAACATTTAAGGAATCAAAAAGAAGTTGAAAGCGGCCTCCATAGTCTGTCTCTGATCAAGGGTGAATTACTCAATGCAGTCGAGATGGAGTATCTACAGAAATTGTGAAAATCAACTCACTTTTATACAATTAAGTCTGCATGTTTTTTTGAAAATAATTTGTTGATGTCTCTGATCATGGGTCAATTACTCAATGCAGTCGAGATGGAGTTCCTACAGAAATCACTGAATTTGTGAAAATCAACTCACTTTTATACAAGCCTGTATGTTTTTTTGAAAATAATTTGTTGATGT